TTTTTTTTCCGACAACCCTGATGAAAATTGTGGCACTTGTCCACACGTCAACTGGTTGACATACCAGTACAAAAGGTCCATAGCATGTCGAGGTGTCACCCGTGGCCATGTGACATGTGTTTGTTTTGATGCAAAAGGAGTTTCTGCATGTACATGTAATTGTAACGTTATCTCTTGTTAGTGTGGTTTCGCTACCTACATGTAGCAAATTGGCTCAACCAAACCATGGTGCGAAGGATGTTTTTAATCCCCATAGCTCTTTTGTGTATGATGGGGGCTCCCCAATTCAATTCTAATTACTCAAGAAAGGCATTGTGTTTTTTGTTTGTTTGGGGATGGGGCCACTTAGTAGCAGAGTCCACGTTTGGATCATCTTCCGCACTTTGACCCAACCGAGCACGATACGTTAATGAACTTAACATGTACATGTACGTTAATTGCAGAAAAAAAAAAATTGTAAACAAGTGTACACATCCTCCGTGGAACAAATAAGTAAAGTTTGTGTTTGTTAACACGTCATCCGGCGTCAAGTTAACCACTTGCCTTCGGGGTTCCCAGTACCCTGTACCTCGGGTTTGTATGCACAGCTGGGGTGCCTGAAATCAGACAAAGGAGAGCCTTGTAACAAAAGACAGTACTCAAAACAAAAGACCGAGCTGCTTGGAATTGCCATCATTTCTCAACTGACATTAGCGGAGGTAATCCATCATTGTTTTGAAACAGTATACCACTGTTTGCGGCATTCAGTGCCTGTGGATTATCAGCGGGGACAAAAGTGCTCGAGCACTCCAGCAATGAGCAATACAGTACCACTGCACGCTAATCTAACTGCATTTGAAAAGACACCAGGGCCGTTCAGCACCGCACTGGGCTGATTTTGGGAACAAAGGAAATAACGCAAAACCACACCATCTGGGCTCTCTTTACTGGGTGGCAGGCCTGGCTGCAATGCTGGGGCGTCAGTGGAAGTTGTCTGTCAGATTAGAGTAGCCACCAGACAGGCATTCGTGTGGGTGTAAACATCTAGTAACTGAAGTTATGAATTTTTGAAGAATTTTAAAAATGGAAAAATCTTGAAAATCGCCCGGGAACTCGTCCCACATATGTAAATTCCACCTGGCAGGAAGTGGTTAAAGCAAAGCCTGTCAGAAAAATACATGTATATTGGAGCATGTGCGTCCGTTGTGCACGTACATGTACAAATTGTACATGTTTGCTTCAGCATGAAGTTGCCACTTTACAATGCAACGTTATGCTCATGCAAATGAATCGATCCATGCTACCTGTATACATGCACAGTGCATTTACATGTGTATATTGAAGACACCTGAATGACACGTTTGTGGAGTATGGCCCTTTCCTGGCTCTCAGTCTCCTTTCTTTTTCAAACTTCATTGATCTCCTTGACAAAAAAGATTATTGATTCATAAAAAGGTAATAATATCCAAGATGATATGTACATCTGTAAATTCTGGCTGCCGATGTCAGAGTTTGACCCACGTTCATGCATACGCATACTCTACCAGTATCTTTCAAACCACTACCCTCAATTTTTAATCATGTGACCAGACTGAGGGTAGTGATGCATAGAGTTGATACATATTACGCCTGCCTTCATGTATCCAGCAAACAAGTTTACTGGCACACGTATGTACAAGTAGTGTTACATCATAGAATCTTACCATCTGTTATGTATACTGTCTACTATGTTAAATAGACACCGAATGAGTGAGGTGCGTGTGTTTCCTCTACACTTGGGATAAAAGAACAATTCCAGGTGCTTCACTCCATCGACCTGACGGTTATTCTGGCTTATTTGTCATTGATTTCCTGTATAAAAGCAAATCGTCTAGCTTTTGGACAGCACGGAGGGACAATCTTAGGTCATACGGATGGCATCGTGTAATCATCATGTGAGTGTCTTACATTAAATTTGCAGGTACTGGGAATGGTTTTAGTTAGCTATCAGTTGTTGTGGAGATGACGTGAGAGGCCATTTATCGGTTAGTATTTCGGATTAAGCAGAAACTCAACATTCTTGAAGCTCTGCACTGCAAATCAGTTGCTGTAGGAACTTAATTAATGTCAGTGTGCAGGATGAAAGCAGTGTTTCTTGGATCTTAGCCTTTCAATATGCATGTTGGTCGGATGAGCCAATAATGTACATGTACATAGACAAAGTACATTGTTTAGCCAAAACCAGAAATGGGATGGAATTTTCACTGTCATTGGAACCTTGATTGATTTTATAATTTGTTAATGTGCCTGCACTTTTGTCCACTGCCAAACCAGCAAAATGCCATCTTCCTCTGTCTGCTTGCTTATGGCAGAAAAAAATATTTATGCACATGTGTAAGCATGTTTGTGAACATCATGTACGTACATGTAACTACATGTACATGTACACCTGTACATCACAACACTTTTCCTCGTGACTAAAAGTTGTGCAATATACATGTACATGTACCAGTACTCTACTGCTCGGATTTACATGTACATACATTGTACGTACATGTGTACATACACATGTGTACATTTCATACATGTATGTACAATGCACCATACAGCACACAAGCTCTGTTAATTGGTTATGCTGCTCAGTTGAAATAATTGATGTTCAAAATTGCCTGATGATAATGATAATTGCACGGTTATCTTTCTCATCAAGCAGTATAATGGAAACACCAAGGTTGCAACAAGCAAAGTGGAGCTGCTGTATGTATGCAAGATGGCGTTACATGCGCATGATGCATACATAATGTTCAATCAATGTGATAAAATCACAACTTTAAAAAAAGAGTTAAGGACCACTTTTTATTTTGTGCATACTTTTATCATATGACATATTTTACTGCTGAAAATGTGCACTCGATGTTTTGAACATTTTCAAAAATTTTTATTCCAATGAATTTATACTCCAATGAATATTCCAAACAAAAAAATGAAAGAACTGGACCCCATTCACTGCTTGGAAAAAAAATTGCAAGTTCTTAACTTCTTTTGAGTAGTATACATGTACTCTTACCTTGTACTGGTACATGTTACAAACCTGTTATTTAATGCCAGTTTGCAAGATGTTCTTGAAATCTAGAAGACAAACCAGCTCCTCATTGGTGCTGGAAGTGTTCCTCATTCGGATTAGATTGTGAAAAGTATGAAATACCGGTAAATGTATACATGTAACTGTTGTCTGGTTGCTCGACTTTTTATTCTTACCTCGTGTGTGTGGAAATCAAAATTACACTCTTGTAAGTTGCACATACAATGCATGTACTGTTGAGCCGTAAATTTTACTGTATCATTATGTAAACTGTTCTGTTCCCAGTCCTTGATCTAATTCAGTGGTAAATTGATTGGAACATCTTCTTTTTTGTCACGAAAAAACATAGTTCATCAGAAAGATACTGTAAGGGCTGTACATTAAATCTAGGAACTACACTGTACATACATGTACATTGTACATCTCAAGAACTAATCAGTTTTCTAAACACTTTATCCGCCCCGAGCTGAAGTGCACCCCAAAACGGCGAAAGAAACACAGGTGGTTTCAAGCGAGTTCTTGCACACGTTCTGCATGTACGCAAAGACCATACATGTACACTGCAGAATAAATTAGTTACACGTACTCAGCGTGCTCTGCGTCAAATGCACATATACTTGGGCACCTCATTGCGCATCTATGTGGCGAGTACCAAAAAACGCGCCCTCTTTTGTTCTCCTCAGAGTGGATTGGTGAGGTGTGAATTTTTGATATTGAGGCATACAGGTACAAGCTGGACTGTCTAAACTACTGTAACATAAATACCAATATCTGCCCCGAGCCGAAGTGCACCCCCAAGCAGCGAAAAGAAAGATAAGTAGTTATATGTATAAGTGCGTTCTTGCTTGCATTCTGCGTGTACTCAAAGACCATTCATGCCGCAATCTGGTTCATAAGTGACTTTGTCATAAAGGTGGACAGGCCATGATTTGCAGGCTCCCATTGGACGATCGCTGAAGTTGTGCGTCAACTTCCGGTTCCACGGTTCCTTGTAAACCGCGATCAATGCATGTAACTCCATGTGCAGTGCAGAGGGCCTGGTTAAACTGAAGTGACGTCACACAAACTGAATGAATTAGTTACACGTACTCAGCGTGGTCTGCTTCAAACGCACACATACTTGCGCACCTCATGGCGCGCCTATGTAATGAGTACCTAAAAGAACACGCCCTCTATCTTTTGTTCCGCTCAGAGTGGAGAGTACATTATGCATACATGTACCAGTACAGCTGCTTACAGGCTGTCATGGGCCAATTTCATATAGCTGCTTAAGCACAAAATTTGCTTCAGCATGAGAAAACCCTGCTTGATAAATGAGGTAACCAACCAAAACTCCATGTGATGTGTATTTTGGGGGGATTGTAGCTGTGTTTTGGTAGTTGTGTTTTGGTTATCATGACAATGACATAGAGTTTGAGCTGGTAACCTTTGTTTTTCACGCTTAAGCAGCTCTGTGAAATTAGCCCCTGCGGGCAGGGCTTATGTTTGTTGTGGCAAAATTGTATTCATTGTTCATGCAAGACCATGCATGATTGCATTAGACGATAAGTGGTCATGTGATACATGTGCATGAGGTACCGGTATAGCACTGACTGTAGGTGTACATGTACATGTACGGTACATGTACATGAGTGTGTACGGTTAATGGTGTGACAACTACATGTACCTGGTAAGTCATATTCAACATTGTACATATACCGGTATGACCTGACCCTGATATAAAATGACCACACCGTACATTGTAAATGTGAATCCTAGAGTTAATATTATCTGAACATCTATCTCAGGACTGTCAAGTCCAAGTCTCAAATGCTCACGTCTTGCAAGATGCATCCCATATGCTCCATCCTTATCTTTGCTATCTGTGGGCATGGAGCTGTACACAGTATGCAAATTAGAACCAGATCCCTGGGTATCGGTTTCACAATTTCAATGGCTCATGGGAGGGGGGGGCCTCTCATAGTCTTGTGTATCTTTCAATTTTACCGTGCTCGGTCTGTTTTGTTGAGAAGAGGAGCCAAGCCAGATTTGACATGTGATACTTCATACGTTGTGCGTAGAATTCACATACAGTAGAATCTAGTACACATTGAGTGTGTGACATGGCCAGTGGACAGATTGAATCAGTCTTGTTTTCCAGTCTCGGATGATCAACTTCCCGAAGCAAGTACCTGCTCCTGAACATAGGCACCATTGTATGGACTAGCTGCTGCCCGAATTCATTGCTCAGATCACAAGTCCAATCCTTGCAAACTCTGGGTAAATGTATACCTTTATGTAACCATCTACATGTACCCCCTGGTACATGTACTATGTACTGTACCTGTGCATTTTCTTTAGGATAGTTTGGTTTCCTACCGGTAGGTTAGGGTCAAATATACTGTACCGGGGTACGTGAACCGTAAGAACAGCAAGGTATTTTGTTTTGAATTGAGGAAATTTCTTGTTTTCGTGTTTGAACCCGAGCAGAACAGGCCAGGAACACTCATGTGTGGCACCAGGTAGTAAGTACATGTACATGTGTACTATACGTGCATTGTGTACATTGTGCACCTGTCACGCCTTTATTGGTACATACATGTACATGTACAGGTACATGTATGTGTTGCTACGGTATATTTTAGTGTGTATGTAGTGTAGGTGCCTAGCAGAGTGCATGTACCAGTACTGTAAGGAATTGCATTTCATCCTGCAGTATTTGATACTGTGCAGTGCATTGTCAGGTACAAATTTAATTTACCTGTACAAGCACATTGCAACAACCATGAATTTACCAACTGGTGCCCCAAAACAGTGACTATCCATTACAGTCCAAGGTTATTGAGCCCTACATACGTGCATTAAATGCTCTTTATTTTTTTCTCTATAAATCCACCACAGATCTCTCAGCTGTAGCAACCACACACCCCCTCCCTTCTCCCTTCCCATCCATGGGTGACTCCACAACGGTGTCCCCATCGTCCAACACGATGGGCAGCGAGTACGATTACCTCATCAAGTTCCTGGCGCTGGGCGACTCCGGGGTGGGCAAGACTAGCTTTCTCTACCAGTACACAGACGGCACCTTCAACTCCAAGTTCATCTCCACCGTGGGAATCGACTTCAGGGAAAAGCGCGTGGTGAGTTTCCTACTGTGCGATTTTTTTTTGCATGGACACGACGCGAGGGGGAGTGGGGCTGATGGGCCCAAGGGGCCCCTCTGGGACCTAAGTGGCTCAGTGAGGTATCGGGTAAACAACATGATCTTACTTCGTGTTTTGAAGGCACAGTAGCCCCCTTTCGGCTGTCTCCCGTGGTTCATCACAGCTCTCTAATCCATTGTACATTGTAAATAAACTGCCACAACCGATCCTTCTGTGTAAATGAGAGGGGAAGGAGAAGGTAAACCCGTTTTCCTGCTACACGTACATGTACCTTGGTGTCATACTGCTGCAGATGCACGAACACACACTTGTAGTTTCTGCTTGGACATA